AAATTCCACAATCCATTATGAGGGGGAAGAATGGGTTTCGTGGGGGACTACTTGGAAAATCCATGGACTTGTAGCCTAGATAATATATCTACTCCAAGAATATTTTTTTCTCTATAAAATATTAGCATGATCAAACACAATGTGTATCATCACCTCCCCCCCCCCCCAAACACACACACACACACACACACGCACGCATACACACAAACACACATTTCGTTCCATCCGTCATCTAATTTGGGCTCAGCTCCCATGGTGAACGCCAGAACGCACAATTATGAAACATCTCAATGCTCTGCAAAGCCGTTATAATATGTGCTCATCACAGACCGGTTACATAATTTTAATTGCAAATGTGGGACGAACGAAAAAAAAAACGGGTAAAAATGTGGCTGACAAAAGTGGACGAAAACGAATAGTGAAAACGGGCACACCGGGCTGTAGTATCTAGATCTGATATTTCTAAACTTTTTATCACAGATCAGCCTGCATCTTGGTGGCTGGGCAGAGGGGGGCGACAGGATTTCGTAGGGGAGCCTGACGATGATGTAGCCTATGTATGTATTGTATTACATAGGCCTATGCATAGACGTATAATGTTATGGCTCTGTACCATAGGCTATGTATGACCTAAATAAATATGTATAAAATAATAGGCCTATACACGTACATGCACATGAACTGTATTGCATATTGTTATAGCTCTGCATGCACACATGTACTGTATTTCATTAACGAGTAATAATATACATGTACGTACTGTATGTGAGGCAGCGTGGTGGAATCAGGCTCTCGTCAAAATAATCAAAGTGAAGAAACTGGCATTTTTCTGCTGGTTTGTGAATGTTTATCAAATTATTGTTTTTTGGCTAAACACCTTTCATACCCATTAAAGAACTCATTTCTGTGTGGATTTTTCTCAAAAACCGTGATTAAAGGTACAAAAAATGTACATTTTTAGTTACCACGGACTCTTTAGCTAAGGAAATAACTAATCTTTGGCGGCCATTTTCTCACTAATTTTTACTCTGAAAATAGGTAAACCCCACCTCTTTCT